GAGAAAGCCGCCCCTCCACCTCTCGCCCCAATTTCAGGCAGGTTAGTTCCTCCCCAAGTGTCCCAGGTCCTTTCCGGCTGCTGCTCGGCGCTGGGCTCAGAGGGAGCGTCTGAGTGGTTCCGTGTGCGGGCCCTTTAGGAGGAGCTGCTGGCGCTCCCGCAGCCTCCCCGACCCTCAGCTACAGTCCCGCTGGGTTTCACAGCCCGAATTTGTGGGGACTTCTCTTCCCGGCCCTGGAGCCCTGGGCTGGGGGCCTGATGTGGGGAGGGGACCCCCCACTCCTCCAGGAAACCTCTGCCGCTGAGATGCCCCTCCCAGGTTTCAACTGAGGCACCGGGTGTGGGCCCTCGGGGAGTCTCCGGGATTCTGCATCGATCCACCCGCGTCTCCGCCCCTCCTGCCGGTCTCGGTGCTTCTTCAGCTCCCTGGTTGTGGGGCTTCTGTTCAGCCAGTTTTCAGGAGGCTCTGAGTGATGGTGGTTCTGTATTTTAGTTGTAATATTGATGTGCTTGTGGGAGGCTGCGGGTAAAGCTGTTACCTACGCCGCCATCTTCTTTCTCCCCTCAGTAACCTTTTTAAGTAAATTGGTGCATATGAAGGAAATAATTTTAATTTTCAGTTTTTAAAGTTACTATAAGGAAAATATTCTAGGGTAGAGGATTAATATTCTGTCCATTTATGTGAAGTCTAAGTATATTTTTATTGATTGATTTTAGAGAGAGAGAGGAAGGGGGTAGAGAGACAAACATCGATTTGCTGTTCCACTTATTTCTGCATTCATTGGTTGATTCTTGAATGTGCCCTGACCTAGGACTGAACCTGCCACCTTGGCATATGGGGACAACACTTTAACCAACTGAGCTACCCAGCCAGGGCCTGCCGCTTAAATAATATTTTTATAGAAAGGGGAAGGCTTCATTCCTATAAGTTGAATACTTCCGGTTCAGTCAGAAATTGTACTATCAATGCAAGTATACATAGCATTCTATTTTTGAATACCGATTAGTCCATACAAGAAACTGCAATGGTATAAACAACTGCTACACCTTACCTAAATTACTACCATTTGATTTTTCTCTTTTTGTCTCCATTAGGAGATGTCCCTAGATGCTTCACTTCCAGGGGACCCAGAGGCCTATCCTGCTGCTGTGTCAAGCGGTGGAGCCACTCGTCTGCAGACAGGAGGTGGATATTTTGGCCTAAGCTTTACTTGTCCTAGTCTCAAAAATCCTATTAGCAAGAAATCCTGGACTCGCAAATTAAAAAGCTGGGCATACAGGCTACGGCAGTCAACCAGCTTTTTCAAGAGATCAAAAGTCCGTCAAGGTAGTGTGCTTACAGTCAGGGACATAGACTAGGTAACATCATTTTTCATTTACTTCTGTTTTGTTTTGTTTTTTTGTTCATACACAAATGTTGCCACTTTTTCCACATAGCACATGTATGTGACACTCCCATTAATGTCATTCCCATTTTATTTTTCCTTTTGTAAATAATTTGATTTTATAGTTATTCATTTCACATAGATACTAAGTCTCGGGATAAATCTTGCAATGTCTGATTTAGAGTTAGGGACTTCTACAGTGTTACTTATTACATTAACACTTTTTAATTGTCTAGCCGGAGTTAAGCTTTTTCTGCTTTTCTTCTTTTTTGGTAATGTAAACAAATTTAGTCTTAAACAATTTTATCTGTTTTGTTTACAATTTGGCAAAACTTGCAGTGGAAACAGAAGATGTGAGATCAGCAGTTGCTCCTGATCCCATTCCTCTGGCAGGAGAGGCCACGGCTGATACTAAGACTTTGAGTAGATGTAAATCAATGAGTGGATCATTTCAGCGCGGTCGGTTTCAGGTTTGTGTTTTTGGTTAAATCCTTATCTAAAAGGGCATTATAACAGGTAACAGCATTGAAGACATGGGTCTATAGAAGATACTCATTTTATTTTTCTTTTTCTTTATATGTTTATATTGATTCCAGAGAGAGGGAGGGAGGGAGGGAGAGAAACA